TATGACAGATACGTATTAACTAATATCAAATTTTGCCTTGTCACAATATATATAATACTAGTTTGGCGCAGTATTATAGTATGTTTGCCGTAATATGTAAGTTTACCGGTTCGAATCTCAGGCTACTTTTTTTTCATTTTATCAATCAAGGGGTTATTTTTTCATAACCAGTAAAAATTTGGTAATGTAAAATTTTGCTCAATAATTTTTTTTTATAATTTTCGCTGTCCGGTAGAAAGAAATTTAAATAAAGTTAACAACAATTAGGTCAGACCATCGCGGGTGAAGTGAGTGGGCGGAGCGTGGATTGTCTTTGCGGGTTTTAAGAATGGTACGCGCGGAAACTATACGTACAAGTGTTATCTACATATGTGTGCGGGCCACGCACACTGGAATGTTTATTGCAATCGACCAAAAATTTGATGTAGTTTGGATATTGACATTCAGTTTTTTTCTTTGTTTCTTAAATATAATCAGTATCAGTAAAAGGTAAAAGTAAAAGTGTTATTTTTACCGGTACAAGTTTAACAAACATGAGTAATAAACAAATTACATGCCAATAGCATCGCTTTATCTCCTTCATTTTTGTTTGAAATAGAAAAGTACTTTAACGGTCAAACTCATTAGTCCAAGGCAATATAAAAAAGTACCTAATAACTACGGCGATAGAGTTTAATTACATGTGCTTCGATATTAAAATTAAAAAGTTTAAATATCAAAAAAAAAATAGTGGCTTGGGATTTGAACCGCCGACCTTGCGTACCAACGGCGGCGAACGGTAAGGCCACGAGACCAAACTAGCATATATGATGACAAACTTAAATTTGATGTTGGTTTTATCTACCTAATATCTGTCATCCGCGTCGAACACTTTTAGTAAATTTTGAAAAATGGTTTGATGCAAAGTGTCAAATGAATGTAACAGAAGTAGTTTATTCCAAATTGTATCACAAGCATATAGAGATAGAGTTCAATTTTGTCAAATGTACCGATATTTTTGCGCACCTTGACTGCTTCGTTACTTATGACGCTGTGGCTGCTACGATATTTATGAGCATCTTGCATGTACTCATATATTTGACGCTGTGTATGTACCGATGTATTTGAGCAGGGTGAATGTATCTATTATTTTGAGGACTTTTGTTGTACCGATATAATTGATTACTTTTGGTGTACCTATATATTTGCATATCTTGTCTGTGGCGATCTATATGACGCTGACTGTACTTGTAATCAATTTTAAAACGGCAATTTCGTCTAAAATAATAAGCATTTATTTTATTATATAAACGTTAAAAAACCCATAATGTAGGAAAATTCAATAGAGATCCTGACAGTATTTTTTTTCCTTTATAAGAAGAAAGGGAGAAAACGAGCAGCGGGAACACCGTGGTTCATCGGAGCCCATAGACATCAGCAATACCAGAAGAACCGTTGCGGCCGGCGTTGCCGGCCTTTGACATGGTGATACGCTCACTTCTAAGGACTTTTTTTTAAAAGAGTAGGGGCAAACGAGCAGCGAGAACACCGACGTGTTCATCGCCCATGGACATCAGCAATACCAGAGGAAGCGCAGACGCGTTGCCGGCCTTTGAGAACTCTAAGTCGTTGCAGTTTGGAACTACCACCAATAGACCATACCACAACGCGGCTGTGGTAGGCAAATTTCGCGAAAACCTATACACCCGATGATGTACATGATAGTTTAAAATAACAATATTTAACAATATGAACTTGCATCGGTAAAAATAACATCTCGAATGCAATGTGTGAAGACGCAAGCAAATCTTGTTATGCAAATACACATCCGATTATACCGTATCTATTCAAAGTGTTACTGAATGGAAAAATTAGTATTAAAAAAGACCTATTTTAAAACTACGAGTTAATACAAAGATGCCGGATGTCATATACGTAACTAACAAGACATATATGCTATTTATATTATAAATGCGAATGTTCATATGGATGGTTGTGAGAATGTATCTTCAGAACGGATGCATAGATCTTGCTGATATTTGGCATAAATCTATACTAATATTATAAAGCGGAAGAGTTTATTTGTTTATTGTTTAAACGCGCTAATGTCAGGAACTACTGATCCGATTTGAAAAATTCTTTTTTTGTTGGATAGTCGATGTATAGAGGAACGACCAAAAGTTTTTTTTTAAATTTTAATTTAACGTATAAAACATAGTTTGATGAAGAATATGAAAATTAGAATTTTAGTTATTACCAACCTGTAATTAATTATTACAGAATAAGTTAGAAATTTTTAAAAAGTTGGCAACCCTGTCCTTAATTGTCAGTCATTTTAAAATATGATAACCTTCCACAACTATAATGAAAATATGAATTATGTAAATTATAATTTAACTAGCGACATGAAAATACTGTTAGAATAATATAATAATATTTTACTTAATAATCTGTATGACGAGACGTAATAAATATGTCATATACATAATGATTCTAATAAATATAATCTTGATAGTATATAACGTTAATTTTATTATATAATATCGTCCAAACATCAAGTAGAAAACACACATTTAAATAGATTAAAATCTTTTTTCATTTAGGAGCAATAAATTTAATACATATTGAGTTACGTAAAAATATAAAAAATAACTGTAATAAGCCAAGGTAGCGCAATTCTTAAGCGCATGATCGGATCGGAACTTATACGACCAGATTCGGTTCCCGTTTGAAGAAATTCTTCCTTCATCTTTAATATGTTCTTATTACATTATTCTATATGTTACTACATTGACTGTGGGTTTCTGAGACCAGAACCTCCATTTAAAACATATTGTCTTTGTTTTGTCAAAGATAATGACTGGGATGTCGATTGTATACAGATATATTGGTGTCAGAACCCCGCTGTGATTGAACTAAGTTATGGAATTTGTTGATACAACGGGCAGCAGAGTTTATACACCGTTTAGTTGACATGCCGATCTCTAGAGTGTGCTACTTGTGATAGAATACGTAACGTTACAACACCCGTTATTGTAGGCGTGCGTTCACTTTTGTACGGCACACACCACGCATGCTTTCCTTTTGTCATAACAAAATACGTAATAACATGCAATTGTTTTGTTATCAATAAAGCGGGAAATAAGTAAGCAGTGGGTGTAGCACGAATATTTGTGATAATCTTCTTCGTATCGTTATCGACTATTATGTCAAAATTAGTATGAGATTAGATGGGGGCGCTGCACAAATTTTATCGATGACGATACGATGGTGGTTGTTATTAATATTCGTACTAGGCCCAGGCCAACATTAAGTAAACCGCTGCCTTTTTTACCTATATTGGACAGAGGAGGGGATAAACTGGAAGTTTTTTTTAATGACTGACTGGTCATTACCTTAACGTTACAGTTTCAGCGTGCTTCGGGCAGCCGGTGCTAAATGCTTGAGCTTAATGCTTGTGAATTGGATATCATTATAATTGTTTATTTATCTCCTCCCCTGTCGATATCACTTACCCTTCCCATTCTTTAGTTATATTTTACAAATTGTTACGCACCTGAGAGGCGGCTGTCCGTCCGTTACTAGCCTGAACAGAGGTGAGTGCGGGTCAACTTGTAAAGAACGAATGAATTCATCGAACTGAAACAAAGAAATAAATATTATTAATACATATTAATTATATGTGTTCAATGTGAATAAGGAACCAATACAAATTGTATCAAAGAAAAGACAATGTTGTTTTTTTTTATATCATAAGATGGCAAACAAGCGAGCGGCCACCTGAAATCGCTGAAATAGCGAAGTGACCGTTGCCCATAGATATACGTATGTACGCAATTGCATATGCGTTGCCTACCTTTAATCGACGGAGGAGAGGATACACAGAAATAAAATATTTTCCCTTTTCATGCATCCTCTCATCCGGAAAATCTACTTCCACTTCCCATCCTTTCCTTATAAGAAAAAGGGTGGGAAGGGAAATAGGACTAAATTAGGCCTCCGAGACTCACACTCATCAGACGAAAGGCGAAATTGCTTCCACTTGACGCCTGTCTTTTGTGTGGTCGTGGTATTTCACCGGGCGAGGCGGGCCGATTCGTGCGAAGATGTTAAAGCGGGCTCTACAACTGTTAAATGTGAACATCTCTACAAATTCTTGCTTGCTTTGTCATTGCTTGGTAATTATAGATTTGTACTGAATTAAATGCGCCGGTTGATTTTCCTGACATTAAATTCTACCTCTGTTATTAGTTCGAATCCTCACCACCGATACCAAACGCAACCATCAGCGCCAAAATGACGAAAATCGAATAGGCACAAAATACTACCGTTAACAGCCCCTCCATATATGAATGTCAGTGGCATAATATTACAAAATTGCCTGAAACAAAGGGCAAAAACATCAACCGTTTCCGATCTTCCATAAGAAACAAAATTATTTATTTCATTGTAATTTATTTGATAGCGGCAATGTAAATAACCAGTGACCTTTTGTATTGCTCTATGGTACATCACAGAATTCGAGGTCTGAAGTTAGCCCTTGAATCATTAACAAGCGAAACAAACAGATATAACAGCAAGGAGTGCGAGGGAGACAGAAACATGTCACCCGATTTTATTGCATCGCTATTCGTTGCTAATATCACGTTCAGGAATTGAAACGCATAAAATGTATGTAAAATTGCAGAAGTAAACTAATTTATTGACCTTTTTTATGATAGATTGATTTTATAGATTTTTTACTTAAGTAATAAATCAATTTGAAGCTTAAGATGTTATTAGTTGACCTATTACGTGCCTTTTTTGGGATATTAAATGCAAACAGATTTTTTGCTATTAGCCATCTTGCAAGGACCCTGTACCTGGCACAAGCTTTGTTCTTTTGTTTTGTGAGACGGTTTTTTGTTTTTGGATATTTTGTAACATCATATCATCCCTAGAAGTTCTTTAAGGTGTTACTATTGTATAAAAATTAATAATTAGTTTTAAGTTAATTTAATATACCTCATATTTCAAGCACAGTAAATGGTTTAAGCTACAGGATGTTAAAACATTACGAATGTAAAAAATAATCAGATAAAATACAGTTTACGATCGGTGGCCTGCGACTCCGCCCGTCTGTTCTTCCGGATTACGTTCTATATGTATGCCAAATTTCATCGAGATCCGTTCAGCCGATCTGGAGATACATTCATACAAACATCCATCCATCTAAATTTACGCATATAAGATATATTAAGATATACGCATATATTAAGATGTTGATATAAATAGTTTAAGATCCAATTTTATTACTATATATGCTACTCAAAACAAAATAAGGGCCACTAGTTTATTTGCATTTAAGTGCACTTTAGTAAACTAAAGTAACTGATTAGTAGCATTATATTGATATTACGAACTCTTTGGTGTTTGACCTCTTTCATGCTGGTGTTCGTGTTCCTAATATATATATATATACTAGCTGTCGCCCGCGACTCCGTCCGCGCGGGATTAAAAATAGATGTTGGCCGATTCTCAGGCCTACTCAATATGCTCACAAAATTTCATGAGAATCGGTCAAGCCGTTTCGGAGGAGTATGGGATCGAAAATTGTGACACGAGAATTTTATATATATATAGAAAATAAATGTCCTTGTTTGTACATGCACTTACAACTAGCAATGCTCATATCAAGTAATGTCACATTAATTCTTTCTCAATGTTCTCTCTTAGTGTTTGTCAATTTGTTATTGTCACTTTCAATCACGAAACACTGATAAAAGCAGCAATGTACACAAATTAATTTTGACATTACAAAATTACTTTTGCCTCGTTTTATTACTTTTTCGGCGAATTGTGTGGTTGTTGCTTAATGTACGAGAAATTAGATTGCTTTTTTTACCGCGATCTATATTGTACAAGATAAAATCAGAGTAATTGTATGGATACTAATGTGTTCAATCTGTATTGCACTGACCGTAATCTTTTTGACCTTTTTTTACATCATATGGTGGCAAACGAGCCAGCGGTCATCTGAAATCGCTGTAATAGCGAAGTGATCTTTGCCCATAGACATGCAATTGCATGTATTGCCTACCTTTGATCAACGGAGAAAAGGATACACAGAAAGTAAATTACTTTCCTTACCTTTCTTAAGTACAACTACTTTTTATATGATATTCAACTTATCCTGTCTGTCAAGTTTCTGTCCTGTAAAATTCTGTTGACTGTAGAAAGTAGTAATTTCAACCTATGACATTTAAAATACAGGACCTGTTTAGCTCGCGTGTTATGTCTGTGTGATTGTCAACTTTACTTCATTCCCTGCGTAAAGTGGCAGCTCGTTGCCGAGTCCGTTACTTTATTAGTCAAACATTTCAACCAAATTGAAAACCAATTAAAAACCGATTTAAATTAAGGATGCTTTTGTTTTATACAGTCAATTTTATAGTCAGTCAGTTTTATATCTTTACAAAAAATCTATGTCTAATAAAGCAAAATACTATTATGTTAAAAAAGATAACTGGCTGTACACTCCCGTTGTCTGTGTTTTTCCGCAAACAAAAAAAAAAACAAAAAATCCGAGCGCCATTTCTCCCTGGCATTCGCTCACAGTCGGCCGTCGAACCCGTCGTACAGTCGGTTACGCAAGCATCAGCATCCGGGATACAGTTAAGAACAGGTTCCCGGTTCCGGCACACGGCACACGGTTCACTCGACTGTGTTTGTTGAGACATTCTTAGATATCTTAAGCACCTGTGTAGGAATCACCGTAGCTTTAATCAATGGTTTAATATCTTACTTTAACAAATGCGTAGTTAGGTTATGTGGATGTTTCAAAACTATCCAGACGTTCGGATCTGTATTAAGTTTGGACCAGGAGTTTTCTGGAATAGCGCTAACCAATTGTTTTCATAATCCAAGTCGGTTCAAAAAAAATGAAATGACTACTTTACTCATCATTAATCTTACTAATATTATAAATGCGAATGTTTAGATGGATGGATGTTTATTTGAAGGTATCACTAGAACGGCCCAACGGCTCTTGATGAAATCTGCCATTGATGTAGAACATAGTCTGGAAGAACACATAGGCTAACAATTAAGTTTTTTTTCCTTATTCCGCGCGGACGAAGTTGCGGGCGACAGCTAGTCGATTAAAAAATCAATAGATTGCCGCAGGTTGCCATATACCGTAGTGTTATTAATATTTTTTACTACAAATTATAAATAACTCTTATATGAGAAATAACGTAATAAATATTAACACATGTTAAAAAAAAAACAGGATCTCCAACTCGTTGCGATATAAATGCAGCGTGAGCTTTTCGCAAAAACTCGGGCTATGTTACAAAAAGATGGCGCTCAAGTAGCGTGTCGATTTTGTTATACGAAACAAAAGTCTCGCGCTGGATGATTTCATTTTAAAATTATATTTTTTTAAACGGTATACATGTTAGGTTTTTACAGACTGGACTATATCTCGATTTAATTTGTCATACGTATAGAACAGTCTGAATAATAGGCTACACTAATTAAGTTTTTTTACATATCCACGCGAACGGAGTCGCAAGCGACAGCTAGTTTCTAATATTGTACTTAATGTAACAGTTATTGTGTTTATAGCAAAAATAAGAGTGAAAGTGTTTGTGGTTAAAATTCTTCTTGAATAATTTGCAATAAATAATGGAATAAAAACATTAAAAAAAAACGTTGACTTTCGATTTTCTATACGAATGATTTATGAAGCTAACAAAAAATATCTTTTTGTTTCTTTATATGTTTTTCAACTGTTATGATTAAATTTATTTCTAACTTATGTGAAAATTTACTAGTTAGAGTCAAAAGGCGTATTTACCTTGGATTTCTAAGACCTAAATCCCTTGCAAACATATCGTCTCATACCTTTCATTATCTTTGACAACACAGAGATGACAACATAGATTTTGAACTCGGAAACCCACGGTTAGTCTTTACGTCACACGGTTTTAAAGTTGCGGTCGACTTTGCTCCCGTGTTCATAGGTTTCACAAGAAACTATCAACAAACTAATAGCCCGGTTACCAAGATTGGTCAAAAAAGTTATAAAAAGTAAGGGAAGATTTTTCGACGAAAACTTAGTTTAAATAATATATATTTTTTATTAATAATAATGGCAATTATTGTAGTTTTTAAATTATTTTATGTTACATAAAAAGTTCCCTATTTAATAAGGTAAATAAATAATTTGTAGAGCAATAACATTGTAATTTTTTCAAGATGGTCTCAAACTTTTGTCCGACTGTGTATATACAGGTTTTTAAATCGACACATTTTTGGATCTGTGGTCTGAAAAACGGATAAAACTCCATCTATGAGTCGAGCAAACTTCCTTATAACCTTTCGTACGACCTTTAACTGAATAATCTGTAAATTACTGTAATGAAATATTAATTATGAATATCTTATTATTACTAAGCCAAGGATGCGCGCACGCTAAGTAACAAATGTGAATAAATAATTAATTTTTTATTCAACACTAACAAGGGTAAAGTTGTATATGCTAATTTGATTTCTGTGAAAATTCATACAAGTTTAAATTAACGTATATTTTAAAATAAATATATATTTAAAGATATCGAAATTATAGAAGCCATCTTTAGAAGAGGTAAGAGAAAGAGAATTTTGTTTAATTCTCTTCACGCGTAGTAATGTTAATTTCAAACATTAAAAATTAAGGTAGGCAACGCATATGCAATTGCGTATATCTATGGGCAACGGTCACTTCGCTATTTCAGCGATTTCAGGTGGCCGCTCGCTCGTTTGCCTCCCTTTGATATAAAAAAACATTAAAAATCTAGCAAAAAGTTTAACTAAAACTGATAAACAGTGGTAGAACATCTGTTGCACGAATGAGCCAGCTCGTGCGGTAAATACCACGACCACACAGAAGACGTCAATTGGATGTCATTCCGCGTTCCGTCTGATGAGTGTGTGTGTCGGAGGCCTTTTCCCTTCTTACTTTTTCTTATAAGAATTCTTATCCTGAACGAGGAAGTGGATTTTACGTAGTAGGAGAAACAAAAACATATAGGCTGGGGAAATATTTGCTTTAAGCGCGTCGCCTCCTACGACGATAAACCGTCAATGTATGTCTATGGACTGGGGTCAATTCGCGATTTCCGTGAATTCAGGTTGGTGCTTGCTTGTTTGTCACCGTATACATTGAAAATATATATTTTAAAGATTTTGAGGACACAAACCTACTTGGCTTCATTAGAATTCTCTACGAATCTGTCTTTTGGTTTGGGAACGCAGAGTAAAATTGTATCTCATAAGAGACATAGTGAGACGTGTCATCATTATCTTATAAGATACTAGCTGTCGCCCGCGACTCCGTCCACGCGGGATTAAAAATAGATGTTGGCCGATTCTCGGACCTACTCAATATGCTCACAAAGTTTCATGAGAATCGGTCTAGCCGTTTCGGAGGTGTATGGGTACGAAAATTGTGACACGAGAATTTTATATATACGACATATGTAAAGGTTAACATTTAGATGCTAATACATGGCTTATTAATTTTAAACAAAAGAATTACTTTGCTTATTTTCTTTCTATATTCATAAATTATTATTGCAAAAAAGCGCATTCATTATAATTATTAATACGAGACTTTGATCGTAAGATTATATCTTACTAATATTATAAATGCGAATGTTTAGATGGATGGATGTTTGTTAGAATCTTCAGAACGACAGCATGGATCTCGCTGAAATTTGGTTTATAATATATATCATGAAAGAAAATAAAGATAACTACTTTTAGATATTAATGATTGGAATCCTTTTGCGCGAATGGCGCGCTTTCAATTCAGTCATGTGTCAGAATCATTAGTGAGGGGACATAAACGTCGACATTTTAGTAAGGCTAGTGTTGCACCAGTTTACCGGCACACTGTCGGAATTTCTTCCTAAAACTAATTAAGTTTTTTTTTAATGTGAGTCGCAGGTGACAGCTATTGTTTCAATAATCGTATACACCTATATTAAATAAATATTCAGAAAGAACGAACATGTCCGGTTTAATAATATGAAAATGTATTCAAGTTAATCGAAATGCTTCCAGTGACTGTGCGCCCGTTACTGACATATACAGTTATAATAAACCTGTACGTCTGACGTGTAAAGGGCACAGTGAAAACGACCAAAAAGTAGATCGAGAACTGTTTGCATTTCGGTCGAAAGATCTTAGTAAATGTATCACGAGAAAACCTGTATAAAACATATTTCTCATTCAACCTTTTTGAAAAGCCATATATATGGTTTTGTAAAAGCGGTATATATGGTCTTTGGGGAGACCAATGCCCAGCAGTGGGCGCCATATGACTGAAGAGAGAGTTCACCACCTCGCAGTAGACTAGCGTGATTGACTAAATGTTAGTTACCCTGACTGCATACAGAAAATACTGACCATAGGAACATTTCGAAGAGAATTAAAATCTTAAACAAATGAAATTAAATAAAACAAACAATCTCAGTTTACTCCTTCGTATTGGTGGTGAGTTTTTTTAAATAAAAAATACGATAAGGTGGCAACCCTACGTCACTTAAAAAAAGCTATTGACACGGATAGTACGCGTGAAGTACTAGATCAAAGTGTTCACGTCCTTACAGTATCTCTGGTAAATTAACGTACACCGAGGTCGACAGTAAAACTTGAACCCGCGACCTGCGCCTCGACATTCCAGTTTTAAAATTACATACCTCATTGTAATACGTCAGTACTAAGATTACCTTGCCTATTATAGCGCTGCTAAATTAAATACACCTAGTATTTAATTTAGGAGCGCTATAATCAGCTGTCTTTGTTAACTAAATTATAGTGCGACAATATAGCGTTTGAAAAATTAAAAAAAATGGTATAAATTGCAGTAGCTGCACGAATAGCTTTGATGCAAGACACAAGGCAAATGGCAAATTTTAGTCATCCGCCCTTTTCCAGGGTGTATGTTATTACAAAAGGATAGTAACCTCTCCATTATTGTTTCTCAAGAAGGTGGAATTGACCACCTTTTCGGGTCAAAGTTTCTTATACGGCCTTGCGGGCAAAAGTGAAACTAAAGAAGCCGTCATGTCATATCTAAGCCTATCTTATACGTATTTTCAGAACGAACCGCGATAGTAGCGCCACCCTCATCAGCCCAGACAAAGTGGAATTAAAATTCACAAAAGGGGAAAGTGTTATTCTTCAATAGTTACTTATACATACAGTATGTTTATAATTTCTGTTCAGATTGGACTTTATATTAAAAGCTACTAAGTGACAACCCTATAATACATGAGACTGTTCAAAGTTCAGGGCTGTCATGCGAAGTTGTAGCACGTGATTGTACAAACAGTTTATACTTACGTAAGCAGGAAAATTGATCTATAGGTATAGTTTGATTTGGTGTTAAATCAAGGTTAAGGTGAAGGGATGCATTTTGTAGAATTAATATAATGAAAGAACATAAACTAAATACCACGCATGTATTGTTAATCTAAGATTAAACTGGTGTCAAATAAAACTAAGCTCGATAAACACCTTGAGTTTTAATTGTGATGTTTAACTGTACAGACTGAAGGTGTGTAACAAGCTTTAATAATCTTACTAATATTATAAATCTACAGACTAGGTGGATGGATCTTGTTGCAATTTGGCATAATTGGAGAACAATCTGGTAGAACAAAGAGGCTACTAAATATTTTTTTACCCGCGCGGACGGCGTCGAGGGTTACAGCTAGTGTGTTATAATAATTTATGCCTTTCCTTGTTTGGTTACAAAGTTTGTAAATAAAATAGGAGAAAGCACCTACCTGTTGTACAACTATTTCTAAGGGCTGTCCCGTTTGCAGCTCCGCCGAAGGTCGTCTCGTCGGTCGCACTGCATATTCACGTTGTCCTATCACCTGTAAACAAATATACATTTAAAAACTAAAGTCATTTCTTGTCGGTGTATCGGAGCACTAATTTTACTTTTCCTTCCCACCCCTTTCTTATAAGGGAAGGATGGAAAGACGGAGAAGATTTGATGGAAGACGGAACGCATACAAATGGATATACCATTTGTATGCGTTCCGTCTTCCATCCCTTTTCTATGTGGATATCTAAGGGTCGCATCACTATGCTTGTTCATTTTCCACCTTATGATATAAAAACTTATTTCTTTAAAATTTAAATTAAGAACACTAAGCTTTTTTTTGCTTTTCAATACCTATGTAATAAGACATAAGACATAAGAATTAGTCAAAATAACATGCATAATAAATAAGTAACAATGCCTAGTTCTAATCTATGCAACACAAAATATCGTTAGTATATAAGTTAATATTGTATTGCAGTATATTATACGTTCCAGGAACATTAATCATTGTTATTTGACCCATCGTCGAATCCCAACGAGCAAATGTTTCAATTGGATTATAAGCGTTCAGAACTCGACACCAACTTATGAGCCAAGCCAATCAGCTGGCGGCCATTTTATAAACAACCAACATGGCGGTTTACTCGTCTAAAATTTACGATGCTTTTGAACATTCGTTAAAATTTACCTTCCTAATCTTACTCCTTACTTCTTACTAATATTAAATGCGAATGTTTTGATGGATGGATCTTATGTATCGTCGATCGTATGATTGTTAGAAAGTATCTCTGTTAGTTAGAGAGCATAGTCTGGTAGAACACATAAATTATTTATTAAGTTTTTTTTTTATTTCTTGCGGATGAAGTCGCGAGCGACAGCTAGTTAAGATATAATTGAAGTATATTAAACATGATATTTTACATTAAATACATATTAATTATTTAATTATAAAATCGATTGAAATAACTGAATGAAAAAAATAATACTACATGCTCAAATATAATTATACGGCAAGTTTTTTCCATTTGTCGTCTTGGCGGGCGTTATTTTTCCACATTGTATGTAAACTAAGAGTCGGTAGGTGGTTAGGAACGTAATAGGTCGCGACTTCCATTGCGCATGCGCCGGTCAAATGTCATCTGTGACAATGGCGGGAAAACGACAACGGTTGCGAAGTCAATTTGAAGTACACTTTGAAGTGTATTCGTCAATGTTTGAGTATGATGAGTTTTTAATATATATTTTTTTCATGTTATTTGAAAGTGACGAGATGAAAGTGAAAATTCAAGAAAGATCTACTAAGATAGTTGCACAGCCCAAAAACTATAATTTGGCTCGATACTATCACTGTTAATGTCTAGGCGTAGAAACAAAATACAGACAAGATATAATAAACAGATTACATTAGCTTTATTTATCCCATCGGGGCAATATGAGAACAAAAATAACAAAGAAAAAAATATTATTAATAACTATATTTATTTTTAATCATCGAGAGAGTTCGTAATCGCATAAACAGCGACTTGATAAAAGGAAACGGCAATTCAAAATGAAACGGCATAATTCACGTGTTTGACGAATTTGCAATTCATTGTTTTAAAAAAAAAAATACCTATTGACCAACTTCGTTTATTACAAGATAGTGATTTAAATCGAACCATAGGTCGTGTATAAAATAAGCAGCAAGGCAGCCAAAATGCGTTTATTTCGTTATTTGATATCCTTATATTAAAAGTATTATATATATGTACATTTATAAATTCATCTAGCCCTATTCGCGACTACTTTTCGTTGTTCCCGCGCGATTTCCTACTGTTTGACATCTATATTTTTCCTTTATTAAAAAGGCAAAGGTCTTGGCCAGTATGCCACATCTTTGGCGGAACGCAAATTCCTTGTCTACCATAGAGATGGGATGCATAATTCTTCACTCAACAGATCGTAATCAAATGATGAAAAAAAAAGAATAAGCTTTTAAAAATCTGTAAATGTTATGTTCTCTATTATTTGCATTAAAGTGTTTTTATTTTCAAGTAAATACTTAGTTATTAGTTGTGAATAAAAATATTTCTTTCTACTTTTAACTACCTATTTTATAAAAGACCTAGGTCCTATAGGAGATGGTTTCTGATAAATCTTTGTTAGTACTCTTTCAAGTTAAAACAGAATTCTCTTTGAATTTTAAGTCCCTAATCCCAATAGTTTAAACCAGCTACCAGCGATGTATATCCCCGCTAGTTTCTGAATCCAAAATTTGTGTCTCTATAAAACATATCGTCATCCCTGTCATTATCTTTGACAAAATATAAATAATCTGCCTTAAGCGGGGTTTGGTGTCAGAAACCCACAGTCATTCTAAGGCATGTTTTAACGGGATGTTGTTGTGATTGTTGCAGGTGGGCGTACATTGCGTGACCGCATACAAGCGTCATATCCGTTAACTACTGCATCGCGGATGTACCGCGCAATGTATAACATGCATTACTTGCTTATTTTAATGTGAGGTTATAAACAATAATTTAAAAAAATATATTTATTTTATCATCTATGGATCGAATCCGGACCTGATTACGATCTGATCCGTTGCTTAACAACTGCACCAACAAAGTTTTGTACTTAACTAACTGTCGCCCGCCACTCCGTCTGCGCGAAGTTAAAAAAAAAACTTAATTAGTAGCCTATGTATCTCTCTAGACTATATTCTATATCTATGTCAAATTTCAGCTATATCCATGCATCAATTCTGGATATACCTTCAAACAACAATGGATATATGTTTGCTTGAATATTATTTGTTAAAAAATGCCCACAAAAGTAAATTGATGAGTTTTTACTGTCACTATTATTAGCTTACGCAATACGTTTTATAAGTCTTTTTAGTACGTCTTAAAATCAATGGAAACGAACAGTTTTACATACAATTCAGGCTATAAATCTATGCAAATAAAACGTTTGATATGCACATAGCGTGCTCACAATTAAATTGTATAAAACGCAGATTGACATGATGAACGATTATGTAGATAATAAAAATTAGACATATAAGTAATTAAATTAATTATATAATTAAAACAACGAAGTTAATCATGTTAATAGTAAATGTTATGAAATTTAATGATATCTTTATAACCACTTTAGAAACGACTAAGCTAGACTTTCATAAATGACACGATGAAAAAAGCATTTTTTTTATATTATAAGGTGGCAAACGAGCGAGCGGCCACCTGAAAACGCTGATATAGCGAAGTGACCGATGCCCATAGACATACGCATATAACGCCCATAGACCACTCAGAGGACAGGCGTGAAGTGGAAGCAATTCCGCGTTTCGTCTGATGAGTGTGCGTCCCGGAGACCTTACTTAGTCCTCTTTCCCTTCCCACCTTTTTTCTTATAAGGATAGGATGGGAAGTGGAAGTGGACTTTCCGGGTGAGAGGATGCATGGGAAGGGAAAATATTTTCTTTCTGTGCATCTCCTCCGTCGGTTAAAGGTAGGCAACGCACATGCAATTGCGTATGTCTATGGGCAACGGTCACTTCGCTATTTCAGCGATTTCAGGTGGCCGCTCGCTCGTTTACCACCTTATGTTATAAAAAAAAGGACGCTTGTCACAAATATTCATGCTAGATCCACTGTTCTGTCAGTCGCGAAATTCCTATTTTGTCATAGATTTAAATTTGTTTTAATTATTATTTTCATTTTACCGTAGCTACATATAAATGTTACTTACAGGTGCACGATGTACGGCTAGACCGACATAATTCAATACAATTAACATTCCTTTACCTGCAATCTTCCTACTTTAACCATATACTGTTTCCGAGTAAGCATTTAATAAACGGAAATACAAAACACGTATTCTTAATTAGTAAGGAAATTATACTACAAATACTTTGGTATTTAAGACTAGCGTAATATTTCGTTATTAGCATAAGATTTGGTTATAACATTTCAGTACAGGTTTGAAACAGTGTATAAGGCTTAAGAAAGCGATTAAATATTGGTCTTGGTTTGATCGATATAATTATTTCAAACGTCATTCACGTAAAATACAAGCTAGACGTGGAGTTGAGGATTTTTAAACATGGAACAAAAGCATCAAATATAAATCAGTTATCAAATAATATGACACGTTAATATTACACCAAAAATCAATCGCCTAAAGACGCTTTATCGTAAGTTTCGGAGACAAAAATCTACGTTTTAAACATTTTGTTATCACTGTTTTAGAATTGAATTTGAATCACACAATCTTACTAATATTATAAATGCGAATGTTTAGATAGATGAAAGTTTGCTTGAAGGTATCTCCAGAACGGCTGAACGGATCTAGATGAAATTTGGCAAATATATAGGATATAGTCTGGAAGAACACATAGGCAACTTATTATGTTGTAATTCCATGCGGACGGAGTCGCGGGCGACCTCTAGTGGAGGTATAAAACAAAGTTTTACAAGTCAGTCTTGTTAATAATCTCAAATTAAGCATCAATTGCAAAAAGGAGTATACGGAATTTATAATGTCTAAACACAGATAATAATCTAACAAAGATGTTTGAATACAGACAGAACATACATAAGCATAAAGCAGATAAAAAATGCATCGTAATAAAAACAGCCAATTACTCAAGAATCAAGTTTAAAATGTCTATACGACCTTTATGTAACGAATTACAGTGAATTTCCATTGACGAAACAAACTCTGTTTATTCAAAGAAAATGATAGAGATGGCAATATGTTTTTGTACACATCTTACTAATATTATAAATGCGGTTCTTTGGATGGATGGATGTTTGTTTGAATGTTTAGTTTTGTTTAATCTGGCGCAGACGGAGAAGCGGAAAACAGCTAGTATTCAAAAAAAGGTATTACTGAAAAAAATTTGTAAATAATGAGATGAACTTACTACTAGAACATTTTACGTTTACGATTCAATTTAAATTTATACCAACTTAATGCTACACTGCGATGTTTGTCACTTAACGAGTACCTTAGTTCAGACTTATACTAAAGCTATACTAAGCGACTCTTTATGTAACAACT